TGGCGGTAGTGCACGGCGATTTCTACGGTGTCATGAAAAAGGCCGGGGTGGTCGGTCTCAGATTCCTCTCTCGTCAGACTATAAAGATTTTTGAATGAAGAAAGACGATTGATATGATGAAAGTCGGAAACACAAGTCCCAAGATATATGACTAGGTAAATACGTCGCGTTCTCGGAGAGATTTAAATAGCAAAAGGATTCTACTATTTGTCAATCTCGAACTGTCAACGTGTTATTTCGGTGCGGAATATGATATCGGCGATGAAGCATCCTGGCGTCGATGGTGAAGAGTAACTTTGCACAGATACGGGATATTTACCTTCTGAGAGGGATAAAAAGATTAGGAGGCAAACTGAGATCCGAGGTGTCTCCGGAGGTGACGAGAAACATGGAAATCATCGCGTTGTTGGTGTTGCTTGTCGCGGAATTGGCTCTCGGGGATATGATTAATAGCGTGTTTAGTCGCATGGACCCCTGCACCAGTTTGTGCGAGAAGACACCTATTGGTTTTCCAAATGTACATGTTAGCTTCATGCATTGCTGAATTCTATGTTGACATATATACATTTATTCACATCATATTTTTGGGTTGATTCACAAATAAGTTCTGTTGAAAAATGATTACTGAATTGCTTCTTCTAAGAAATCAGTATTATACATGATATCTGATCATTTTATTCAGTGCAAGTGATTAAGAGAATGTCATTTAGAAATCAGTATTAAGCAATTAGCCTTTATCAATCTCAACAATGTGCTTTTTGCTATGATGTCTGAATATATACAGCTAGATAAACTGAAAAAAATTCTAGGGCTTTTCTGTAATCAGTTTTATCTCATCATTCTTTCCAGATTATTAGATTTCTATCTGTTTAGATAACTCTAAAATTCATTAAATGGAAAAAAATTTTATACTCGTTTCATAGGAAATATAAAACATTTTTCAGTCATGGCCGAATCTTGATATTTAATATTACTTTTTAAATTATTACATAAATTATTATATAAATAATTATTATATAAATAAGCTTTGCTACTGCCATCAACTATGTACTGTTATTTTTTAACAGACAAGCATACAACAAGAGTCTGCCAAAGTCTTTATCCGTTTGATTACTGTAGCATGAAAAGATTTTCATAATGAAATCGATAAATTATAAAGAAATTTCTTTACACCAAAGTCTCCAAAATTCTGAGGAATTAACAAATTACTATCTAAATGAAAACAAATTATACTTAATAAAGAAATATAAAATATTAAAATTTATTATGTTTTTAAATATAAAAATTTAGTTTGTTAAATGAAATTTATTTCTGAATCAACCTAATACATATATACATGTACATATATTTTCATTTTTGCGTCTTACGTTTGTTTATATCAACCATTTCATTTTTAGAGTACATATGTAAAGTCCTGCTGCCAGCGAGGCTGCAGGTTCTTCAATCTAGTTGACCTGCGTTATGGATGGGAACAAAACAATTTAAATGGCACTAGGAGCGCCTGCGAGGCTTGTATGTAATGACAGTAATTATGTTTTACTTTTAACGTATTGAAACGTTTGGTTCGTGATTTTTAAAAATATTTGTTGACCTTAAAACATATTTTCATTACGTTCGTACGTCCAGAAGAATTTCTATCCTTATTACAATATTTTTATCCTGGTTTATAAAATCCATTTTCCTGCATTATTTAATTGTAATTCAAGTCTTTCACAATGTAATGTAGTTCTTTTATTATTTGTGACAGCGTGTATCGAGGCTTATGCGGATCCGAATGACCGCTATGCCTGTAGCACTGGCTGTAATTTCATGGCTAAGCAACGAATATCAGACCTATTGTCTCTATTCTCTATCGCCATATGCATGGAGGAAGGTATAGACTCAAATGTTTTACCAATGTCACTCGACATGCCGGAGAATGATATATTAACCGATCCCGGATTACGCAAGGAACTGCTTCCTCGGTGGTGGGACTCCGATGGCTTTAAACTACCGCAAACCTATGTTAAAACCATACCAACGGACGCCAGGGTAAGCCCGTAATACTTTTTACGATTAACACTGTATATATGGAATCATATATTTTATAATTGATAAACTTATAGAGTATGGATTACACTCTGTCCTCCGACTATTCTGGAGAGACTAAACATTCGGCGTCCACGTCCAAATACGAATCGTTTCAACGCGAGATGGAACGGGTGAAATCGGAGGATATCTTTACTTTATCTACGTTGTTTGACACACGATTTTATGTGGTTTTCATTCTCGTCATAATGATCGCAACGGCAGTTTATCTCGTATATATTGATTCTGTATTGTACATATTTATGGATATTTTGGATATGCCTCACAGAGATTATGACAGTCCGTCCGATCTTTCATTATTCATACCGGACGAAGCGGTAATGTACAAAATACCGCCACCTAAATATGACGAATCGTCCTGTCGTTCGAACGTTTAAGTCACGACATTTCGATGAAAATTTAACACGAAGTGTAATTGCATCGCGTTTCAAAAATTGCATAAGCATAATGTAACAGTGCAATATTAATTACTTTTAATTTTGTTGAGATACCTCTTGAGTTTATTCTTAATTGTAATTTTAAACATTTGTATTGCATTTACATAATCTCATAGCAATAATATTTTCTTTTTCTAAAATAATTGATGATAAAATATTTATGCACGTGCGCATTTAGTATTCTTAATAATATATAATGTGAGATAACAATTGTGAGGTAATAGCGTAAAAGAGACAAGCTTATTCGGCAATGTAATATTTCCGAATCAAACCGCGCTGTATAAAATGTCGAGCTTTTCGAGAAATTTTATGTTGATAATTATATTACAGACTGATAATTTTTGAAGTGTATATATAACGAAGGGGATACAAGCTTTTAATATCAAAAATTACGAAGCCTTTGCGTCTTTTCTGAATGCAGTTGCATAATTTGTATATATTTAAACCGATGTAAATTATTATACAACGAACAAGTTCAAATTCGCAGAAAAATTAGACGTGAAACTTTTCTGATGATAATATAAGTATATGGTCAAAATATTTGATTTGATCGTTCTTGATTTGCGATTCGGCAAATCATTATCTAAAAGTGATCAAGAATGATGATAGTACAACATACAAAATCCTAGAGATAGCTAAAAAGTTTGTATACATTATGATGTATTGAATTATATATTTAAATCTGTTTATAGGGGAAACCTTACGTAAGTATGTATAAATATTTTGTAATTTATTCTATATTATGTTAATTTTTATGTATTATGTAATTTGTTCTGTCAATATTTATTTTTCTTCATAAAAGGAAAAGAAAGGAAATTCGAAACTCTAGTCGAAGATTTTCCAATTAGGCGTTTCTGCTGAATATATTTGAATTGCATTTGCGATTTCTTCGACACATTGTTTTTTACCGCTTGACACGTTTATCGCGTAGCATTGACGTTAAAATATATTCGCAAATATATATTATAAATTATGATTAGTTATCTTTATGAATTATATATACAAGTATACAATTACACATTGGACATATATATATTTTATATATACACGCATTTCGCACGAATCTTTTCAAGATTTTGATAAAATATATGTATATGTTAGTCAAAATTTTTGTTTTTAGTGTATGAATTGTAAGCTAAGATACCGTCATATATATCATGTATCGATAACATTTCAATTTTAACAATGGATTATACCCGATTGACGTTTATTTTTTATTTTATAAGATGAAAAAATATTGCAATATTAATGTACATCACATTTGTATTTAATAATGTTAATTTGTTAAAACACTTTTGTCATAACTTCTTTTGTTATGTACTTTTGTAGAACAAAAATTGTCTTTTATTCATAGGTGGAAGAATAACGATATAACTTTTCTTTTTATAGTTTATATGTAGTTTATATGTAATATGTATGAAGAGATGTATCTCTTGTACAGAAAGATTTCGATAGTAATGTGATGCAAATTTGAAAGTTCCGATCTAAATTAGATTTATATCTAATTTTGGAATGTTACATTGTATAAGAGTTCAAGTTCCTGTTTGTAAGACTTATATATCCTTAAATTAAGTCTCATTGTTACCGAATATAGAAAGTAAGATTTTGCGTATTTCCCTTTAATGCAATTTGTTGAAAGTAACTAGAGTATTCCTGTGTGTGTGCGTGCATCTCGAGCGATTGATGCTTTCTCTTGGGAAAGGATGTTATTATTACGATATATTATAAATATCAAAATATTTATTGCGTAATAGAAAAGTACATGTAAAACCAAAGTATTGTTTTCCTTAATTGATAGTATCTTAATCTACGTTCTACAAATAAATGTCATTCCTATATGTAAAACTGGAAAATAAAATACGTGACGCAAAATTGTGTAAAATCAGTCGGCGATTTCTTTTTCTTCATTTGACATGTTTCTTTTTTTATCAAAACGAACAGCGTGCAAAATTCTGGGCACAGACTTAAATTTAACATTAACAAACAACAATTGGCAGATATACATAGAAAGTATCCGCACAGTTTTATAAAATACTGCGTATGAAAAAGGCGGAAAATATGTACATCGAGTGTAATTGTTAATGTACATATGTGTACGGATCAGTACAAGTTTTGGCTTGCGACAGATTATTCGCGCAGGAGATCTTTAGCGATATATCTCTTGTATCTTATTTGTACAACATGTTTTGAAGCCGAGTCATGTCAGCTTAAGCTATAAAAAGGCTTAATTTGTACAAATCACATGCATAATGTTGCAAGGATTGATCTCATTCAAGTTATTTATATTATTGCCAATAGAGTTTAATCCTTTCCGCATTTTTGTAGAAAAAATGTTGCATCTTCAACGCGGGACTCAACAGTAAACCAAGCCCGCTTCACGCATTCAATAGTTTTATCATTAAAGAGCACATTTGTGAGAAATATTGTGTTCGTAAAGATCTTTAGTGTAACATATCTCATATATACAATGTGAAGATTGTATATTTTTACAAACTAGGATTGTTTCGCACAATCATAACCTAAAAGATTTAATTTCCGAAGAATAAATTAAATCTTGTAGATTCAAAAGTGCATAACATAATACCAATTTCATTCGTTTGTATTATTGCCAATACAATTCAGGATCATCCCTACGGAACTGAAGCTTCAAAACATGTCGATATATCTTCAAGGCAGGACCTAACAACAAATTGAGTCCACACAAAACGTCTTTTCGGCTCATCATTAGAAGCGCGTGTCCGTCTATTTCCTGAAACGCAAACGCAAATTGCTTAGTAGTAAAGAGCAATAGATGCGCAACAAACGCGGTACATTAAAACAATTATGCAAAATATTTTATCCACCTAGTAGATTAATTAAGCTCTCACCTGCTGTCTGAAGACTTCGGCTTCCTTGGGAAATAGTCGAGCAAAATATTGATACACTTGATCCGGAGTCCAAGTTTTCGCGTCAGGAATATTCAGATCAATAGGTCCTTTGGGACCATCATCTTCCATTTGATCGGAAGAACCCCTGGTTGGAGAGACTTGTGGACTCAGAACTGGTGGTAAAATAGTTGTACTGGACGGGCTATCTGATCTGTCTGGTTTATCTGGCTTTTCTGATTTATCTGGCCTATCTGGCCTATCTGGCTTGTCCGGTCTGCTCGTTCCGTTGATCGAGTGAGTGTTTTGACTGTCACTTGTTTTGCATTGCTGTTTTTGCGTACATTCGTTGCAATACCATTTCGAATTCGACTTTATCGTGATACGAGACGCGAGACAGAAATAGTGATAGGCATCATCGCAACTATAACAAGTCACCAGCGGACCCTAGATTAAAGAAATCGAAAATAATTAGCAGAATAAAAACGTGACGCGCACGGAATACGCGAAATGGAATAAAGAGTTATGTAAACTTACAGCGTCAGAAGTTTCACAACACACTGTACAAGTCTTACAACGTTCGCATTGCCAATTACTATTGGCTTTTTGAATTATTTCCTCCGGATTATAGATACAACTCGGATGTGCTGCAAATGATGATAATGCGTATAATATATATATATGTATAAAATCGATAAGAAATTAAAAACAATCACGATTAATTTGATTAGTCTATATTCAAGAATTACCTCGTACTGTGCAGTCTCTACAAGCGACAAGAACCTCTTGTTTCTCTTTGGCACAGAGGCTGCACTGTCTGCAGGGTCCATCCTTGACAGTTGCCTTGACAGAATCTTGAGAGTCTTGTATTAAGGAGTTTTTGTGACCTGGTCTACCTCGTTTACGCTTCACTAGATTGTTGTCCGAAGGATCAAATACTTTCCTGGCTCTCTGAAATGTACAAAAATAAATATGTTGAGATGATTCATTAACTTTCGTCAACTGGTCAGTTTAGACCAGTCATTATCATATTTTTTAAATTAATTAATAATTCCCATTTATTTTCTACTTTTTTGAAAATATTATTATTAATTTTGAAAATAAATTGCCCTTTCATACAAATTGATTGCTTCACGAGTCTGTATATAAAACTTTAGAAAACTATAATGAATCATTTAGAAGTAAATACTTTAAGAGATATTATGTTTTGTACTTTATGACAAAATATATAAACATAATTAAAGTGGAACCATATCCTGCCTATCAGAAATACCTTTCAAAATATTTACAATATTCTATAAATACAGCGCTAAAATATATTACCTTTCTTCGCGCACTACGAAATCCACTGGTATTCACATTAGGTGGAGTAGGAGATGTGTTCGTCGACGAACTCCTACCAGCATCCTCGTCCTCGCGATCCTCGCTAGACCGCCGGCCAGTTTCCTCACGCTTTTCCCGCTCCTCCTTACCTCCGGCTTGTTGATAATCTTCAAACTTAATCTCGATATCCATACGATCATCCGTTCTCGCGAACAGACGCTGTTTGCGCTCGGCCTTGGCGGATCTTTTAAGGTTAGTCGTTGTCTTTTGGGCATCGTTGCTTTTGGGTTCCTCTTTGAGGACACTGTTCTCGATGGATATTGACGTCGATACTGTTACCTCCAGGGAATCACGTTCCCGTTGGCCATTATTACTATTACCGCTACCCCTGCCTTCACCGCCTCCGCCGTCGCCGTCGTCAACTCCTCCGCCGTTGCGTGTCACCTCGACGGTCGACGGCGATGCGCTGCCACCGCTGCCACGTTCGGCGTTTTTCTTGTTGTCGGTAATCTCGTAGCATTCTCCCTTTTTGATAGAATTTTGCTGCTGCTGCTGCTGCTGTTGCAACTGCTGATCCAGTTTCGGACTATTGCTGGCCTGTCGCGAGGACGATCGTGATGTGTTCGATATGGTATCGTTATCCGTAAGATTATCCGTTTCGTTGAACTCATACAATTCTGCTGCCGTAGATGTTGCTACCGCTGCTGCCGTCTTGGTTGCCTTGGCCGCCGTCGTTAAACCATTGGTACCATTACTGATGGTGCCGTTGCTAGCGGTTCCTTACCGACACGCCGCTGCGTCGCGTTGCCGTTCTCCAGGGCGCAGGCGACCGCCGCCGCGGAGGAGGAGGACGGCTGCGAACCGCCGCCGCCGCCGCCGCGTCGCGACGGTGTCGCCGCATCCGTTGTCATGTCGGACGTCGCCACCAGCGAATAATTGCCGTTGGACAAGCGCGCGAGATTGCCGCTCGCGACCTCCCGGCCGAGAAACTCCTCGACTACGCGACGCGACGTCGGGCTCGACACGCCGTCGAGCAGCTGCTCGATCAGGCGGTACGCGGGGACGCCCTGGTCCAGATAGTCGGGCTCCTCGACCACGAGCTCGGCGACCGCGCTCGACACCATGCCCGAATTGAGTTTCTCTTTGAGGAAACCCTCCGGTCGATTCTTGAAGAGCTGCAGTCGCGACCATTTCTTCGCGTTCCGGTAACTCGTGTTACCCTTGTAGTCGACTTGGATCACCTTCTCGACCTCGATCAGCCGATGAAGATCGGCGATCGTGTCGCGCGCATCTACCGCATAGTTTCGGAGCAGATAATTACAAATGCGATCAGCATCGGGGCGCGCTTTACGTCGCCGAAGCTGATCGATCGCCTCCAGGATGTGTTCCTCGTGCATTATCCGCTGTGCCGCCTGCACCGAGTGCTGCTGCATCTTCGTCATTCGTATCGATATACGCGCGGGGCGCGACTCTGTATCTTTTTATCTCCCTCTCTTCCGTCTCTCCTCTCACAATTCGGCCGGCCGCCGTTAACCGCACTCCTTGACGATACTCGCCTCGCTGCCGGGGGGATGACGACGATCACGTTTGGGATCCACACGAGGGACTGACAATTCACCAAGGCTCTCCGGTACCCTTCGGAAACGAAATGCAGATTTATGCTTTTGGAAAACAATGCGCGCGATGACGCGCGGTGACGATCGGTGACGATCCACGCGCGCCGGAACGCGTTTCCGCGTGATCCTCTCGTTCGGCGTGAACGCGCGCGCGCGCGCGCGCGCGCTCCGATTTCGGCGTGTCTCGCGTGTGCGTGCGCCGGCCGCCGTCGCCGCCACCACCGTCACCGTCACCGTTACCGTCACCGTCGCACGTCGTCCGTCCGTCCGTCCGTCCGTCCGTCTGTCTGTCTGTCTATCCGTATATCGTATCGTACCGTACCGCACCGCACCGTAACGCAATTCTACGCACCGCACCTATCGTGCCGCAGCCGCACTCCGATGCCGATACCAAATTTAAATTCTACGTCACGAGATCCGTGCGTGGTCCCGACAAGTCTTCTACTTCCGATATCGTTTGGGGAAACGCTTCCCTCCTCCCGTCCCGGCACGCGGAAACGTTGAAATCTTCGGCGTTTCGGACGTTCCGTCGCGCTTCCTCCCGTGTCACGTCGCGGGAACCGCGCGGATCCACTCTCGTCCTCCTTCCGTCTCTCTCGCTCCTGCTCCCCGTTGCACTGACGAGCGCGCTCTATCGAGCTCTCGCTCTCCGGCACGGCGCGGCGCGGCGCGGTGCGCGCGCTATCACGCCGCCGTGGGCGCCGCCGCTGCGTGTCCGCGCGATAAATCCGATTCTCGTGTCCGCACCCGACGCGCGTTCATCCGGGATTACGAGCGGGATACTGGTGAAAGTAAAACGCGTCAAGAAGAAACGTCACGGAAACGCGCAACCGTCGCGCGATCGCGCGAATGATCGAGGGAAGCGCCAGTCGATCGCGCGAATTATGGCGTCGTACCCGTGAAACGCGCCAAATGTCTCTTACACCGAAGCGACCCCTTCAATTAGACGCGCGCTCCTCCGCGATCCGTCGCTGAACAACGATGAACAACGGCAGCGACGACGATGACGACGATGACGACAACGACGGCAACGATGACGAACGACGGACGTATCGCATTGCGCCGCGCCGATCATTCGGTATCTCTATCGCCCATTGTGAAGCGGCAGGCCGCACCACAAGCACCACGCTTCCGAGAAAAGTTTTTGAATCTGAGTCACCCGCGCGCTCTTCTTATCGCTCCCTCGAATCCGTCCCGCCGCACGCGTGGCGCTCCGACGAACGCTGGGAGAAAAGGAAAGGCAAAAAAACTCGGGAGAGGAGCAGAGCGAGCGCGAGGTGCACCGCGAGAACACGCGCGCGCGTGATAATCTCTCGCCGGCGTGGCGCGGATCGAACATCGAACTGCGGAGCGCGATGCGCGTTTCACACCCTCCGCGCGCGCGACCGCTCGTTCGCTCGCTCGCCCGTTCATGGACGGACGTCGGTCCGAAAAACGAGTCCGGTGTCCCCCCCCGATCCCCATCGAGCTCGAACGAAAAGCCGAGTACGTCGCGCGAAACTCCCGGTGCGCCGCGCCTAGACCGACCAATCGCGGACGTCCGATTTGGTCGCCGGTGCGACGAGATGGGATGGCACGGCACGACACGGTGCGGTGCGGTGCGGTGCGTCACGCTCCGCACCGGTCCGGACCGGGCCGATCGGAGCGAATCTCGTGCTCGTAAACAATGGCCATACGATGCCGCCGGTGGTAACGTAACCCGCTAGCCGTCGTCCCGAATCGCTCTTGCCAGGAAGACGCGCGAGTTCGCGCGCACCCGATCGAGAACCGATCATCCGAGACGACGAGCTTCTCCTCGCGAGATGACACGTGAGAGGGAGTGAGAAAGCGTACTCTCGGGGACACCTTTTTTTTTCCACGCGCGCCGGGGGAAGTACGCGCCTGTACTTACCTGCGTGCCGAAAAGCGCGTAACAAATGCGCACCACCGTGCCGCTCGGTCCGCAACACCTCCGGCGGCGAGCAGAGAAACGCGGAATAACGCGGACGAGACGCGTCGCGAAACTAGGACTTTACGCGCGCGATTAACAAATGACGGTGTTGGAAAGGTCGCGCGGCGCGGAAGAAACGAGCTGGAGGATATGACACCAGGAAAAAGAGCCCCCCTAACCTCCAACGAACCTCGCACGGCCGCGACGACTGTGCGAATACCAGCGTGAATACGTCGGCAGCCGCCGCCGCGGCGGTGGCAGCGGCGGCGGTCACAACGGCGGCGGCGCGTCGCCGAACGATGCCACTGTGTGCGTACGCACACGCGATCACGCTACACCTGTGTGCGTGCGTGAATGCGTATAGCCGGCGCAATTCTCTTTCTCTCAGCTGCTCTTGGCCGGCTGTCTTCCCGGCTCGCGGGCGCGTTTATTTTCAATCGGATCTCGGCGTTGCCGATTCAATGCTGGCGACGTACGCGTTCCAATGAAACTGGAATCCGGTGTCGACGTGCACGCACGCACATACGGACGAATGGATGGATGGATGGATGGATGGATGGATAGGTGCGGTGCGGCAGCGGCGGTGCTTTTTTCCCGTCCGCAGCCTCGTGCTTCGCTCGTGCTGATCGGGCGAGGAAACGCGCGGAAACGCGGCGCGATCGAATTCTATCGGAGCAGCGAGAGGATGGACGCACACGTTCGCCAAAGTTGGCGAACTTGTGGGAACATATCCCGTCTTCGTCCTTTTTTACGTGCCATCCGGCGTCGTCGTCGTCGTCGTCTGCTGATCCTTTACATGCATGTCGTCGTCTGCTTTTGCGCGCGCGTTTGTCGTCTGCTCCGCGTTATCCCCGTCGCCGTCGTTCCTCTTTCACGATGCGACGCGACGAGATCATATCCGCCCTTAGTCGGCGAGAAAAGTAACGCGCTCGCGCTTTTGATATGAGGAATGATCTCGGGTGGCCTCTATCGCGATATTCGGGACCAGTGATCGTTGCGCGCGTGCTTTCTTTCTCTTTCTCTCTCTTTCTTTTTCCCTCAGCGCCGAGAGAAAACGGCGCGCTTAACCCAGTCGCGGGCCTAATCGAAATAATTCCGATACATACCTGCGGAAAGTACGATGTGGAATTCGATGGATGTTCGCGTCTCGTACGTTGATCGCTGCGGGATTATTCGCGCGCAGTCCGATGGACGCGCGTTGCCGTCTGCATCGGCTTCGACCGAAAACAAACGGAGCGCACGCCGATCGCGACTGAACGCGATATGGACGAACCGCCAAGATGGCACGCAACGCGCAGTTTTCACACCGGCGGCAGGGCCGACGCCGGTCGGCCCAGATGCCCGGCACCTTAGGCTGATATTTCATGTGTCGTACAACGAAAGTTTCCGAAAGCATAAATTGATTATAAGCTTTATGTCTACGAGGCTAGAAATGAAGAATGCTCAATTCAAGATCTCGTACGAATGAAAAATTGCTCAATCGTATTGGTTCATTAGCCGAATTATTCAAATGCAATTGGTCAATTCTTTTTTCAGACGAGATCTCAGGCCGATTTCTCATGAAGGTAAGGTTAGGGTGATGAAGATTTCAAAACCTCCACAAATTTTTTATTGTATATCCAATCCACTTTTTCGAAAAATTTGCTTAGCACGTGAAATATTAGCCTAAGGTGTTATCACTGTGCAGGCGGATTCACATGGAAGTCGAAAAAATTAAGACGCGTGTTAGATTTTAATTAAAGAATTTATTTTTTAATTAAAAATTTTAATTAAAAAGTCCTAAACTAATCGTGTTTTTTCGATTACAATTTGAAATGATCCAAGATTGATTAAATAATGTATATTATGAACTCAAAGTCGATTGAAAATGTGTAAAGAAAATAAATGTATACAATGTTATAATAATTTAAAATCTTCAGTCGAAAACATGATTGATTAAAACGGAGAAAAATGTCTGATTAAAGTTTCGATTAAGTTGATTATATGCAATCAACAGATTTTTTGCTCACGTTGAAATTTTCCATTTTTTCTTGATCAGATTTTCCATATGAAATTTCAGCAATTCTATTTATTTGTTGTAGAGTGTATTTCAATTATGTTTCCATTGAAGCTAAATATATCATTTTATAGGAAGAATAGAAAAAATAGTAAAAACAAAATTAAACTGTAAATATTGTAACATTGTAATATACAGAGCTGTTCATCTGTTTGCCATTGAATCTGTTATACCTTTGTGTTACAACCAAATCTGTTTTATAAATGGAAATAATTGCGTATTTTACATATTAATTATAATTAACGATGTCAATCAAGAGATCGACAGAGTGTAAACGAAAAGATTAATTCTGATGTAATCGATGACGTTGAACGTTGCTAATAGAAGTTTTATTGCAATCGCCTTTAGGCATCTATTTTTTTTAATCATTCTAAATTATATTAGAAATAAGAAATAAAACTTGGGAAAAAGATAAATCTTTAAAATTCAATTTTCTTGAAATTACTTTTCTAGAATCTTTTTCGCGGAAAAAAATTTTTTAGAGATGGCACCCGTAAGTTGTATCTCACGATACAACATTGTTCTTATTCGCAGCGCCACTTCCGCTTTTAGTCGAGGCAACATGTGATCGGCACTGCGCGCGCAGATATCACATGCGTGATGAAAATAGTGGGGATAACGCACGCGCAATAAATCCACCTGGTCTTTCGACTTAAATTTTAAATTTTGCTGGATCAATGCCTTTCTTATATCACGCATAAAAGAAACATTTAATAAACTATTTTATTATTAAATAAAGCGTTTTCGATTTGTGTCATTTTCATTTACTACTTTCCCTTCGCCACTCCTCCCTTCCAATATCTAATATATTAAAGAGTAAAAAGAGATAAAGATTTTAAAACATATTAAAATTTTCAAAATTATCAGAATTACGGCCCGATTCTTCAACTACAATCTTCATTTTTTTTTTTAATTTCTGACTCTTTCACGAACTTGAGATCTCATTATTGCTTTTTTAAAAACAATCTTTGAATTGATTGCCAAATTGCGTAAAATCGATGATACACATTAACACAATGCTCTAATGAGATTACTACAGGATTCGTGAACGGTCGAATCACACATTTTCTCACTGCATATTTTATTATAAAACGTATAAATATATCACAAATGTAAAATAAAAAGGAAAGAAAATCGCATTCTTCATAACGATTTCTATACGAAGTAATCCTTCAGTGCATGATCGATATTACAACATTTCGATCTGTTTCTTCTTTTGTTTTTCTTTCTCACTCTAAGCGTAACTGTTTTCTTTTTCGGCAAAATCGCCAATACTGTGTCGCTTAATTTTGGAAATCTGCGCATAAATGAAATATGTTAGTTTGATAAGACGATATTTGTTTACGGATTACAAACGTACCAAGTTAAACGGTTTTACTTTCGCGGTGATTCTGTTAGTTTCCTTCAACGGACTTTGCTGTATTTTTCTGGCGATTTTCTTCTCGTGGATGGGAGAATATCGTTGGGAATTGCAGAAGCTCCTATTCAAACGCTGCGGAGATTGTGGTTGATGCATAGTAAACGATGAATTATGTTTCGGCGGTGTCGAGAATCTCGGAATGCCGGCGAATACGTCTATTTGCTGACGTTTGGGCGTTGTACACTTTTTCGGCGTTGGCAGCTTAGACATGTTTCTGAAATAAAATGAATTTGATTGTTCTGTAAATTTCTTCCCTTTCTTCTGCTCCTAATAAATAGGTTGAAACAAGATTTTCGATCATCGTTTAGCTTGATCTCACCTTTTAGGTGATTTTTTAGGACTATTCTTTCGTTCATCGCTGCCGTTCATATTTACATACGCAGTCACCGGCGAGATATCGCAGGAAAGATTACGTTTTTTATTAGAAGTCGTCAACTGCGGCGTGCTCTTAGCATTTTGGCCATCTGGTGTTGACGAGGCCACTGGTTTGGATCTCGCAGACTTCTTAGGCATATAATAATTATTGCCTATCGAATTAGGGGTACTGCTGATTATTTTATTACCCGATGAAGTATTTTTGTCAAGTTTAGGTGGCGTAATAACTTGCTGGGATGACATCGTTTGTCTCCCGAGCGATGCTAGAGATTGCAATAAAAATTAGTAAATTAAAATATATTATTATTAATTAATAAAATGTTAAGTCTCAATTATTATAGTTATAAAAATTGAAATCAATTATCTTAATCACAAAATATGATTCCATTTAATAATTATTTGAAGATGTTAATTAGCCAAGATTTAAAAAAAATTACTTAATATCAGATTAATCATACCCTCTTTCTTTTGCATATTATCGACAGGATGCACTGCTTTCAAAGGACCCTTTTTATTGATCACATCCGATCTTTTCTTCAACTTATTTTTAACATCACTCATAGCAATGGATTTCTCCTTGTTATCAGGCCCTGTATTTTCGTTGGAATATATTTAACCATGTAATTTAATTATCTTTATAATATTTAATTAGCATTTCAAACAAATAATCATTCGTGATGCACGGCATATACATGAAATATAATTTACCCTTTCTTGTATTGTACGTTTCTGAAATTGGAGGTTTTTTATTTGGTAGATTACTAAATCCAGGATCGCTTGAGAAACGCTTCTGGCGATTCTCCAATTCGGATGTATCCCTATGTCTGCGTATTTGTGTACTCTTAGGCGATGACTCAATTACAGATCTGCTTCTTTTACCTGTCTTCTCGAATAATAGAAAATACAAGTAACATATAAGTAGTTGTAAAATTGCCGTAAAAGATATTTACTCACTTTAGATTTTGATTCCAAGTTTTGTCTGTGTGATGCTTTTAAAAGTGCGGATGTATGCGCATTACAATCAGACTCTGGAACTCTTATGGGTGTAGAATACTGTTGAATATTTTGCTCTTCAGAGTAACTTGTCTGCTCTTTATTTTCAATACTGTTATTTAGAGCGGTATTTAATGCCTTTCCTATATTTTTAAGCAACTGTATTGTCGTGTCGTCTTCAGCCTGACCGCTCAGTAATTTCTTGAGATTTATTAGCAATTGTACCGCCACGTTTTTATCCATCTGATTATCTTTTTCTATAATAGACTTATTAAGTTTTGTTATATCAGGTGAATTTGTGGTATTCGTATTATTTTCGCTATTATCTTTAGAGGATGAAGGTATAACTGATGAATTACCACTACTAATGGTATCTTGCGACGAATCTTTCAATTTGTTATCTGTATTTGGCAGCAATTTCTCATTATTATTAAATTTTTCTTTTAGCGATATTTTTTCATTTTCATTTTCTTCTTCGCTCTTATCTGTAATCGATTTTTCAGATCTTTCGACGCTTTCTGACGAGGGTGTTTTCTGAAGACTTTGTGTTTTATTTGATGTATTGAAACACGCTAGTAATAACTCCGTATTATTTTTATAATTAATATCCAAAATATTTTCCAGATTATCGAGTAATTTTTTAGCCTCTGAATTATTTTCTGTTTTAATTAATTTTCTAAGATCCGACAATAACGAAGTTACGGTTTGTTTTACAACAGGAACATCAGCAAATGGCGACTTTATTTCTTCTAGCAAATTCCTTTCCATGCTATCGATGCTTGAAGGAGATTGTTTCTCATCACTGTTATCAACATTTCTCACATCTGTTTTTGGTGAAACAGGTAAATCGATTAAATTATCTACTACAGGTTCATCTTCAAATGCTGGTAACAATTCTGACATCCACAGAGTATTATTTGAAATTAAATCATCATCCATACTAGCTGATAAAAAAAAGAAATACAATACAAACGTATTAAAAACTTACATTGATTTACTATAAATGTTATCTACTATAAATGTTATATAAATGTTATATAAAATACTTACATCCAGAGTCCGTTTTTATTGCCAATTCCTGAAAAGTTCTTGCAAGCACCTTAGCCTCATTCAGTATTGACTTATCAATTTTATTCGTATTCTGTAATAAATTTTTATTTTGCTTTAATATTAAATTTTAATATTAATTTAACAAGTTTAAAAATAAATAAACTTCAAGATTGTTCAGTGGTGTTAAAAATTAACGATAAAGCAGATTTAAATATTTCATACAAAATAATTTTATATAATAATAATAATAAAATACAGCAAAAATATCTTACAGTGAACACAGAATCTGAAGAACCAATGGAAGATGAGCTTTTATTCAATTCTTTATGTTCGGGAATAAATATATCAACATCTATTAATTTATTATCCTTAATTTGTTTATTATTTTCCTCTTTCATAGAACTAGAATCATTTTCTGTCATATTCGAGATACTGGTCGTATTATTCATAATGCATTTCAATTTGTTAAGCCTTTCCGCCAGATCAGATAAATCATATCGTCCCGGTGTTATATCCGTGGAACTTTTGGTTGGGCTTATCTTCCCCTCACTTGTTTTCGACGAACCATCATCCAGAAAAGCATGATTCATAGCGTCAACTGACAACACCGACGATGAAATAGAAGTCAATTTTATAGATGAGACATTTGACAAGGTGGAGAATACAGATTGTTCGCTTTGTTTGCTCTCTAAGAAACCCCTATCCAAAAAAGATGATATGGTGCTGTCACTCTGCGAGGTTTTTCTTTGGGCATCAGTCACAGATTTTGATCTCCTATTTGCATATACCAGATCCATCGAAGACTTTCTATCTCCCTGTGACAACGAACGTTGAATATTCGACAATTTAAAACTCGAAGGGAAGATAAATTCATCAAACAACATGTCTTTCTCTAGACAAGGCAATGTCTCATTGTTCTTCTTAGATTTGGGAACTGTCTCCAGTAATGTGTCATTCATCGTGGACTGATTTAAGATGGACAACTCGAGCGACTCTGGATCGGCAACAGATACCTTATGCTCCTGTTTAAAGACAAGTGCACTATCTGCCACGTTATAAACATGATCGTTTCTCGTGTCGAGATTGATGCTTCCCACTCTAATCTCTGCTTTTTTCTTGTCTCCCTCAAACAAACCAAACCTATTTTCGAGCAACGACTCATCCAGCATATCCAACGTCTTGTTCATCTTGAGATATCTCTTTTTGCGCCTCGGAGTAAAGTCATCCGTAAAATCCACGGATTGCGCGTTTCTTCTACCTTTAGTTCGTAGGGCTCGTTGCAGCATCACCTCGAACGGATCGCCCCTCTTGCTGACATACTCGGCGGTCTCGTGCAACACCTGATCAAACGGATTATTACCATCGTTTTCGCGTTTCTCCGTTGTTGTTGACGACAATGACGATGAGCCTGTTCCGTACTCGATACTCTTCGGCGCTGGAATCAACGGCGACGCCAGTCTCGCCGGTTCCGGCGCTCCCCTCACGTCCGGGCTGTTCAGATCTATCAAGTCGCACATCCCGATTTCAGGTCTGTTTCGCCGGTCGTTCGGGAAGTCCGCTGGTGTTTACGTTTTCGTATGATTGCTCATAAAAAAGGTAAACAGAAACAAGAAAAGTCAACGTTTGCCAATTCAAATCCGGTGATCTGATTCTCGCTGCGAGTTATAGGCTCGGCTGGTTACCTCGCTCGGCACCGGCGAATCTGGCGAACATTACAATCGGTGCGAAGGGCTACGTTTTCTACGATGATGTCTCGATTTATGTACGCATTCAAGCAAGCGGTCACGCATTGATCCGCCCCCGATATTCCACGCGATATTCCGATACTTCGTCCGCGCGGTCTACGGTTACGCGACTTTTAAATCGACGCAACGGAATCACCGAGCGCCCTCTACCAAGCTGTTCGAGCATTGTCGGAAGTGGCACAGGTGCCGGCGGGAACGGTCCTTCCATTCAAAAGTATTCACGCTCGTAAAAAGATTCATTTTAATTCAAAAACTGTGACTACTCTGTGACTAATGTGTAATCGATAATCAATTTATCCGGCAGATTTATAGCAAACAATCTAATTAGTTTTTAATTGTATCTTTCTCTTACACGTTGTAAAATATTAATAATTCTGTTTATGATAACAAAATAAGATTAGGATAATAGATTACATGGCTTATGCCCATTTTTATATCGATGACTATTAATTTTAATTTCAGTTTAATTTACTTTTTATCTTTTTCTAATTCTTGAAGAACTGAAAAAATTAAAATCTTAAATAAACAAAAACATTTCAGCGATGAATGATGATTATTTAATAATATATATAAATGTTTTGAAATAATGTGTTTTAAAATAATAGTTCTTAATATCGTATATATCATCGTGATGTTTATTTAGAGATTTCAATAATATTGAAATGAGAGATAAAATATTATTTCAAATAATGTTGCACTAATATTTTTTAAATATTTTAATGTTAGATAATATTGTCATAACTAAAATATTGAATACGATTACTAGTAAAATTATTAACGTTGTAGGATAAGCAAGAAGAAATAATAAAATAAATTTTGTAATGTTAAACAAAACGTTTTTTTTTAATAGACGAGTAAACGTATAAATACAACGTATAATAGGAAGGAAATAGTTCTAGCAAAGCAGTCCTAGTGACATTTGTCCAATGAATAAAGCATTGTCAAATAATGTTTTACTAACATCTTAATAACATCAATGAAATATCGCTTTATTCATTAAGTAACTGCTTTATCTGCCATATCTGCTGTGGTCGGACAAGATCTTATACTAGTAATTATATACTAGTAATGAAAATAAGTGATTTTGATATAGAAATTTATCAGATGAAATCAAAATTTGAAATCAAAATATATAAAGTGTGTGTGTGTGTGTGTGTGTGTGTGTGTGTGTGCGCGCGCGCGCGCGCATGCGTGCGTATACATATACATATATAAACATGAAGTAATATCGATATATTTGGATAATTAAATTTAAAAACTCGTATGCATTTTTCATATATCTTTGCAACTTAATTGTTAAATTTTTAAAAATATATATTTAAATATTTAAATTTTTTAAAAATATTTTTTAAATATATATGAAATGTGACTTTAATTGCAGAAATAGAAAAAAATAATACAAAAAAGGAGAATAAAATGACGACTTTAAGGATTTTTTCTAATTTCTGTGGTAAAATAATGCTTATAATGCTATAGCTTATGATTATGTCATATAGATTATGATTTAATAATTTTTCAAAATTGAAAATAAATAAAAGTTTTTAAAAATTAATATTTTTAAAAAATATGTCAATTTCAAAATCATCTTACCTCTACACGCAGGTGCAAGATGATTTTTATTAATGAATAAGAAAATAAAAAATCAAGTTTGATTAAAAATAGATTTTGTTATGGCAATAATTGTGAGATCTTGATCTCTCAAGATCGTCAAAAAATATTAATAAGTGAGTTACACCTCCGCATCCTGGGTAGTACTAAAGCACTTTTTTTTTATTTTAATTGTTATAAAATTTATAAAGATTATCTTTTCTTTCAATTTTGATAAAAAGATTCGAGGATAAATTAATAAAAAATTTCAATATAAAAATGATGGTAATTTGAAAACAACACATTTCCGTATCTATGTTTATATCAATTTCTTCGTGTTTTTGAGTCTCTAATCACTTTCCGAGCAACTTTCCTCCGCTTTTGAAACACTTTTAGGGTTCTGTAATTAGTAACATACCTCTCATGGCAAATTAAGCAGATTATACTGAATAGAAAAATCCTTTACCATTTTGCGACTTTCGTAATAGTTAATGAGATATTAATTTATGAAGATCTGTGTGTGTGTCCACGTAAAAAGATAAGCGTGATGCGCATTCATAATTGTTAGGAGTATGGAGAGATCACATTTTCAAATATTTCGCTGTGAAGGATATTTATTAGATTCGTGAAAATAAACGGAGATCGACTGGATTTGAACTTGGGATCCCTCGCCTACTACCAAGACTTAGTTTGTACGACCGTGGCATCTCTCCTCTCTGTTAGCTGTTTATATTCCGAATCTCTTTCATGACCGCTTACGATCATCTAATTCTTACAGCTCGGCCATTCTGACATTATATTCGTCCCGAATGTACCGAGTTTTCATCTACCGGAATTTTATCCGAAACTTGGAGAGCTTCTTACTCCCGAATTCGTTCACTTTTGAACGATCGACACGACATTGGGGAGTACCTTTACTCCCCGACTTTTGTTCATTTCCAACAACACACAAACGACATACAAAATCGACTGAATTCTCCTTGTCAGGTAACATATCCTCTCTGAGGTAATATGGGCTGTATCCCACTTCTGAGCTGAAAGATATTTATTAGATTCGGAAAAATAAACGGAGACTGGATAAAACCGACTTGGATTTGAACTCGGGATCCTTTGCCTACTACCAAGACACTTAGCCTGCACGACTGCGATGGCTCCTCTCTGTTAGCTGTTTATATTCCGAATCTCTTTCATGACCGCTTACGGTCGTCTAATTCTTACAGCTGTTTCTAGCAATCAATGAATACTTTGGTTGTTTTTATGCACGCTCATTTACATTTATCTTGGTAAATTAATATTCTATTAATTATTGCCAAAAATTGACAAATGATTTTTTTTAATTTAATCCATTCTGCGTAAATATGTATCTCTTATTATTTATGATACATACATAGGATCCGCCACCAAAATCCGGATAAAATGAATAATTTGTTTGAACAAAATTCTATTCGTCAAAATATAAAAATTACAAAAAAAAAAAAACTTTTTGTATATCACTAGTGATATCCTTTTTGAAATAAAATCACTCTATGTAACCCTCTTTCGTTTCGATCCTCGTCGCGAAGTGCTGGCACGCTCTCTGCAACACGTCCTTATTGTCCATATTGACGAAAGCTGCCTCGATAGCGACCTGTAGGCGACCTATTCTCTAACTTCTTCTTAACGACAGTGTCGTTATCGTTATGCTGTCGTTGCGCAGATATAATATATGAGAAAAAAGCTGCGTAACTACATCACTAGCTAGTGAAACTATCGTTAAGAAGTTAGAGAATAGGCCTACTGGAGAGATGTCACGTTGAGATGTCTCCACTCGTTGGTCATTTGTTCAATGACGCTCCACACGTAATAAACAGATTTCAAATCTGGACTGTTCGAAGGCCAGAATTCCTTGGACTACATGTCCACATTATCCGACAGCCAGTTTTCAATCAAGTGACTCGTATGCGTCAGCGCGTCATCCTGTTGGAAGACGTACGGCAGCCACGGTATATCGTGAAGAAACGACACCTAGGACGTGAACAGAGGCCGGAAACTTCATCCTAATTATTATGGGGACATCTTTGAGATCGTAGGTGAGCTAATGGTCATTTCTCCGATTCGTTTCATCTTGGCATCGACAAAAAAAATTTTCTCGTCCGAAAAAATATGTGTCCCGCAACTTTGTTTTTCAATGAACACAGAAGCAAATTACAGCGAGCAACTCTGTTTATCTTGGCAGCCTCGGAGAGCATTTGTCGAACTTTTATCACGTAGGACTTGAAGTGTAGAACCTCTTCAGCAATTCAACGCATTGTAGTGTCACTCATACCTAGTGTTTTTGCCAATTTCGTCAGAGACAGTCTGGGTTCTCTGAGATGAGTTTTTGAATCCCTTCGATAATTGCTGGAGTCTTTACCGACTTTTCTTTCGAATGGCTCTTCCTCGTCAGGTTGGCAGAATCTTTTTCGAATGTCTCCGAAGCCAAATATTTAGCCGCAACGTCATATACATCGGATAGCCGAAGAATCGAATAATTTCGATCTGCGAATGCCCAACGCGAAGACCTTTGATTATCGCCGCTCTTCGGCTATCTCCGCACTCGATCATATCCGCTCATATTCGGACATTTTGAGATTATGTTTACTACAAATATCTGACTTGAACATCTACCACTGAAGTTAAATGAGGCAGGAAATTCAAATTTAAATTTATCCAAATTTTGGTGACGAACCCTGTACATTCTGTATAGTTCAATGATCTTGCTCTGCTTATTCGTGAGAGATTATTTGTAAATAAAAATGCTCTAATAATAATAATTAAGTGAAATAGAATTCAATCTTGAATTTTAGATCATATAATAAAAAAAAAATTATGAAAACTTTTCGACTATTAAAGATACATATATATAATTCTTTAATGAAAAATTTCGGTTGTGGATCTTTAATTATTACCCGATTGATGTTTTAATTCTCTGATTATTAAATACTTTACTTGTTAAATTTATTAAGCATAATTATACAGTCTTTCTGAATGAAAAAATTTAATTCATAAAGCTTTATCTCGCACAAACACACATATATCTCACATTTTTCTTATTCCTTTCAAATATAATTTATTTTATAAAAATTAAGTACACAAAATGATGGTATACATGTACAGAAGTGTATAAATAATCGTTATCTTTAGTAATCATTATTCTCAGGCAAGATATAAGGCACATATATTCATTCGTGTCGCTTGAATACTATTCTAGTATGTACAGTGCACATTTTCACTAGCTTGTTAACTCACAGATGTGTGAATTGCAGTACTTTTATAAGCCAAACATTAAATAATTTATTAAAAAAAGTTTTTATACACTCATATTTACAATTTTTATCCTTTGCCGCCACACGCAAATTCCAATCATCGAAATATATGACTTCATCATATTTTCTTTTTTATTTTGCGATATAACATTTGATATATATATATATATA